CTCCAGAACCTCCAGCAGAAACAACTCCAGTAGCAGAGTCACCAACTCCAGCGCCTCCCGCAGCAGGCCCCTAGCTCCAGCAGCGCGACCCTGACGGCCAGCGTACCACTGACACAGCTGCTGTGGGGAGAGAGGGAGTCGACGACGAGAGCGCAGCGGCGAGGCACCAGCGGAGCGACTATGCAGACGGCCGCTCCAGGGAGACTGCTCTCCAGACGCCTTAGCGCCTCCAGGTGCAGCACCCCCAGACTCAGTACCCCTAGGTACAGTACCCCCAGACTCCTCACACCCAGGCTCAGCACCTCTAGTCTCCGCACCCCCAGGCTCCGCACCCCCAGGCTCAGCACCCCCGGGCTCCGCACCCCCCGGCTCAGCACCCCCAGAAGCAGCACCCCGAGCAGGACCACCCTCAGCAGGACCTGAGTCACCAGTGACCTCAACCGGCGCAGTCAAGGGGGGAGGGTCTACTTGAGACACACCTGAAGGAGCAAGACCGGGAGCGGGGAGGGGGTCTACCTGGGGAGCACCTAGAGCGAGGAAGAGCGGCGGGGGGGGGGAGAGAGGGGCAGTGCGGTAGGGGAAGAGATGGTAAAAGGGAACCGACTCGTCGAATCTGACGTCCTGAGAGGGGAAGACACGGCGCGAGGTGGGGTGGTAAAACTGCCAACCAGGCGCGTCAGGGACAAAGCCAAGGAAGACACAGGGAACAGCGCGGGCGGAGAGCTTGTCCGCGGTGGTATCGCGGACAAAGGCACAAGCACCCCAGACCCGGAAACGCGACGCATCGCCAACCTTCCCCGTCCACAGCAGTGTGGGCGAGGTCTCCGGCAAGGAGACACGGGGCCAGAGGTTGAGCTGATGCGCGGCGTACCGGACCGCAAACGGCCACAGAAAATGGGGGGCAGCCGCATGGATCATGGAGGTACGAGCGACCTCCATGACTAAGCCAATGCGACGCTCAGCAACCCCATTCTGCTGCGGAGAGGCCGGAAGCGTGAACGTCTGGCGGATGCCATGCTCCGCACAGAAGGCTGCCAAGAGGTCTGAGGAGAACTCACCACCTCTGTCAGAGTGCAGACGCAGGACAGGAAAGTCCGACTGGAACCGCTCGCGGAGCTGGAGACAAATAGCGCGGATCCAGGGGATCAAAACATCAGGGACATCCCCCTTGCGCTACAAGGGGAAGACCGTGGTGTAGCGCGTGTAGTCGTGGACGACCAGCAGGAAGTACCGCTCGTGGCCCTGTCCACGGACGCGGGCTGGGCCCCACACGTCCAGGTGGAGAGTCTGCAGGGGAGCCTCTGTGGGAGGGAACGAGGAGGAGTGACGAGCGGCGCGCTGCCGCCCCTCGACACAGGGAAGACAGGGAGGAGCAGGCGAGGGTGGGAGGGGAGGGAGAACCCTGGGAAGACCAGAGACAAGGACACGGCGGTGCATGCTACGAAGGCGCTGCACCGAGGGGTGACCAAGGCGGTGGTGCCAAAGGAGGGTCTGGTGCGACAAGGCGCGACACGAGCAGGGGGCCGACAACTGACCTGGCGCAGACGCAGACGCAGCTACCTGAGGGGACGCAGTGGTCAGTGTGTACAGGCCCGACCCCGGCTGCCGAGTGAAGGTAGCAAGGTGACGACCCATCTGAGCACACGTGCAGTGTGTCACACGCTCGTAGGCAGGGGTGAACTGGTGAACACCCGCGTCCTGGAGCGCAGAACCCGCCACCAAGTTCATAGAGAACGAGGGGAGGTAAAGACCCGACAGTGTGCCGGACGGGACAGCAGGACAAGGGAGGACAGTGGAGGAGGTCGCACGGACTGGATTTCTAGAGGGGTCTGCCAGGGAGACTGCAACCGGCCGGCTGAGCGGCGTGAGGGTGGTGCTGTTGCGAAAGAAGGAGCGAGAAGCACCAGAGTCAAGTGTGAAGGTGTACAAGGCCTTAGCAGGCACAGTACCAGAGAGAGCAGACTCACCAGCACCTGGAGCAGCAGCCTCACCAGCACCCAGAGCAGGAGACGCACTAGCACCTAGAGCAGCAGCCTCACCAGCACCTAGAGCAGGCGACGCACGAGCACCTAGATCAGCAGCCTCACCAGCACCGAGAGCAGCAGGCTCTATACCTGGGTCAGGCGGTACGCACAGGTAACAGGCACGGTCAGCACTAGCAGGCAATGCATACATGGCAGTGAGAATAGCATCATAGTCAAGAGCAAATATATCTACCCTCTGCCCAAGCAGCTCTACCCAGTCGGGGAGCTCAGCCTCCTCGCCAAACTCGGTACGCCAGGCGTCGCTCAGACGGGCGAAGCAGCGGGACTGTGTGTGACTAAGCGTCCCGCAAGCCTGACTAGTCCGATCATCTGTGCGAATGACGTACGGGCAGCGAACGGTACTCAAAGACCCTCTACTGTAAGCGTACCACTCACAAAGCTGCTGGGGCGTAAGTGTCTCGCGCGGACGCCGCTGCAGCTGCAGCTGGCCACTGCCAGACGCTCCCGACTGACCAGCTCCAGGGCGACAGCCACGACGGCTACCGTCAGAACCCCAACTAGCGTACCACTCACGAAGCTGCTGGGGCATGAGAGACTCGCGCGGACGTCGCTAGAGCTGCATCTGGCCATCGCCAGTAGCAGCAGTAGCAGTGGTAGTGGCAGTAGTAGTAGCAGCAGCGCGGGCAGGGCAGGCGCGGCAGGCAGGTAGGCAGGCAGGCAGGCAGGCAGGCTGGCAGGCAGGCAGTGCACTATCAAGGCAGGTGCTCACCAGTGGCGGGAAGAGCAGGCGCTCGCCGAGCGAGCAGGGCCGGGGCTTGGCAGGCGGCTGCACGGGGTCCAGGGGCGGCGTCGCGGGTCCAGGGGCGGCGTCGCGGGGTCCAGGGGCGGCTGCACGGAGTCCAGGGGCGGCTGCACCAGGGGCGGCTGCTT